ATGCTTCCTTCTACAAACTAACTTTACCCTCATTGTTTGGGATTAAAGGTGTGTACTAAGGCTGTGTCTGTATTCCAGCCAGAGTAGCCATGCTGTTGGATTAAAATCCCTCTACACCGCTGCTATGAGTTTATGAGTGCAATGCTCATATTGTGTTCAGAAACCAGCACTCCTTTGCATTCTTTGGCTCTTACATTCCTTCTGTCCTCTCTTTTACCACGTTCTCTGGACTTCGGTGGTAGGATGTGTGTGATTTCCCATCTACTTCTGAGCACCTGCTGTGTCTTGTTCTCAGCACTTTAAACACTTATGAATCTCTGCATTCATCACTGCCCACTGCACTAAGTTTCTCTGATCAAAGTTGAAAGCAGCATAATCTATGGGTATCAACATAAATATTTAGCAGGGAGTCTGACAACATGACCACTTAGCAAAACAACATCAGCGGATTTTCCTCTAGGGCCTGTGGCTCCCTTAGCCATTGGACTGTTTACAAAACTAGGCATGGGTTACCTCCCACATTAGAGAAGCAGTTACATGAGTCACACATAGGGACCGAAGGGAGCAGTGTAATCATAGGCTGGAACAATAAACAAACAAATGGGATTAATCAAGCTAACTTTTGTTCCTACAAAACAATTAACCAGTGTGAGGAAGAAATAAGCGGTAGAACCAGAAAAACTGAAAAACTTTATCCAAGAAAAAGGTTAATATTTGGTGTATATGAGGAACTGAAAAGAAAAAAAAAACTCAACAGAAAAAAACACTAGATTAATTTTAAAATAGAAAAATACCAGAATAAACACTGCTTAAGAGAGATTACAGGGCTGAAAATGTAGCCCAGTAGAAAACTCAACTAGTATGTACAAAGCCCTGGACTTAATCCCCAGCATTGCAAACAAACCAAACAGCACCAACGGAAAAGGAGGAGGAGGAAGAAGAGGAGGCATACAAATAGAATACATAAAAAATGTTCAACATCACTAATGCTTGAATAAATACAAATGAAATATATAATGAGGTGCCATCTACAGTGGTTTGGATGAGAATTTCCCTCCCCCCACCTTCACCCTTCCACCTCTCCCATGGCTCATATAGTTAACTGCTTGGTCCATAGTTGGTGGAAATATTTGGGAAGGATTAGGAGGTGTGGCCTTGTCGGAGGAGGTGTCACTGTGGGAAGGTTCTGAGGGTTCCAAAGCCCTCACCAGTCCCAGTTAGCACTCTCTGCCTCATGCTTGTGGATTGAGGTTTGAGCTCTCATGTACTGATGCAGGCCTACCTGCCTGCCGTCATGCCTTCTGCCATGAGAGTCATGGAACCATGGCCCCTAAATCAAACACTTTCTTCCATAAGTTGCTTTGGTCATGATGTTTTGTCACAGCCATTGAAAGTAACCACGACACTATCTCACCCTGCTTGGAATGGGTTTAATTAATAAGGCCCAAACCATGAGAAATGGTAGCTAAGCAGCAAAGCAGCAAAGCAGCAGAAAGGATTCCTAGCCCGTGTTGGTTAGAGTGGACGTCAGCACAATCACTGTGATTTCAGTATTATGGCCGTGGTGACTTAATAGAATGCACTGGGACGTGTTCCTCCCTGCTCATTTTCTAGAAGAATGTGTGTAGTTCTGTAGAATGTGCGTAGTCATTTGCCATGTTTTGTAGAATTCACTAGTGAGGTTATCTGGGCCTAGAGTGTTCCTTGTGGGAAGACATTTTGTGTGTGTGTGTGTGCGGCCGTGGTGGTGGTGGTGGTGATGGTGCATACGTGTGGCTGGGCAGCTGTGCACATATGGAAAGCCAGAGCAGGATGCTGGGTGTAGTCAGTCTCTGAATTATTGCCTTGACGTGGGACCCTCACTGAGCAGGGGTCTCCTCTTCTGGCTAGGTTGGCAAAGATACTCTTGGGATCTGCCCCTCTCCACCTGCACTTCTGGGGTTACACTTACGCACAGCCGTTTACGTAGGTTCTGGGACTTGAACTCCTGTGCTCATGCTTGTAGAGCACGTATCCTTATTCACGGAACATCTCTCCAGCCCTGTGTGGGAAGATTTTAAAAGACGAATTAAATATCTGCACAAAATATAGGTTATCTATTTCCTGTATAGAGAGCATTGTTATTTATGTCATTATTTATGTGTGTGGGTGAAGTTGTTCACAATACACTCGTATGATTCTGTTAATATTTATATATCATCTGGAGATTGTTCTTGCAGTCATTATTTTGCTTCTTTCCCTTTAAAACTTTATTTATTTTTCTTGTGTGCATGTGTGCGTGTGCGTGCGTGCGTACGTGCTTGCGTTTGTCTGCGGGACTGCGTATGCGCAGTGCACATGCAGTGCCTCAGGAGGCCAGAAGAGGGCATCAGAACACTGGACTTGCAGGCAGTACAGAGAGGTTGTGTGGATGTGGGAAACTAAACCAGGGCCTCTGTGAACCACCCTCTCCAGCTCTCTTCTCTGGTGTCATCTTTCTTTCATTCCCGATTGGCCCAACCAGATGTTTATCAGTGTTATCGGCTTAAAGAGCGAGATCTTGATTTTTGTTTTCCTCCTGCTGCTTTTCCATTCGCTTGTTATTTTTCATTCTGGTTTGCATTATCCCATTTCTTTGGCTTTACTCTATGATAATTTGTTCTTTACTGGTTCCTAAGCTCAAAGTCCAGGCCGCTGATTAGGTTCCTTTTTTCTTTTCCAGTCCTGGGATGTAGTGTTCAGCATTCTTCCTAACTTCTGGGTCAGTGGCTCCCTTCAAATGCTGAGATGCTGTAATTTCAGTTTCACTTCCGATTCTTTTCCCTGACATAGATCCTCTTCACCTGTGCAATGATTGACACAGTTCCTTTTTCACCTGTGCAGGCCACTGACCCCACGGCTACAGGCAGATTCACCTCTGAAATATGATAATCAGGGTTGAGAATTCTTGTCTTTCCACACTCTGTCCCGACTGCTCTGCTCAACCTCATTTCCCTGGACTCTGATTTATGTCTCCTAAATTACGGAGCTAGACTCAACCATACCCTTCGGTTTGTTGTCTCGTGTCCATTTTCTTTAAAACAGTTGTTTCATGTGTATGGTTAGTTGTATGACTGGGAGATTGATCCTCAGTCAGAAGCAAAAGTTAGTATTTTTTGTGATGTTTTATAACCTAGTATTTGATGTTAGAATCAATTTATTAGATTATTATTATAAGCAGCGTAAAACAAAATGACAAGAGAATAAAATGTATTTTTATTTTAAATGTAATTTTCATTTTGAATGTATTGGGGTGAGGTGATTGTGTGTGTACGCGCTCGTGTGTGTGGCCTTCGAAAAGGCACACCATTTGTGAATTTGTGCACTGGCTGTGGTGCACGAGGCATTTCCTGCCCTCGTTCGTGATCAGAATGTGCTACTTCGCCATGGTTTGGTGCAGGCAGCATCTACTGAAGAGACCTGGGCGGGGGCGGGGGACATCATCCCCACCTCACACGACCCACCTTAAATGCTTGTCGTGCCCTCAAAATCCAAGGTCTGGGGGTCCCTGGAATGGTCTCTGCAGCCATCTTTCTGGTCTCATAATTCAGGTTTATACGCTAAGAGTTGCCCATGCATCCTCTGTTGTCCATGGTATTGTTCAGTTACTAGTGTGAAGGAAAGGCCCTCTCTGGCCCAGTGAAGGACATATCTGGCTACTAGAGGAAGCGGAGAGTGAGTTTTGAGAAGGAATTTGGGAACTCGGAGCGAAGGACTGGAGGACAAGAGGGACTGTGTCCAGGACGGCTTACCCGGATGGCTGGCCATGCTAGAGGCTAGGTGAGGCATGCTCCAAATTCAACTTATTTGCCATTAAGCACACATTTAAACATGCCTAGTGTGATCTGGAGCGAGACCAATAAACACAATTGATAATAATTCCTGTCTCCATACAGTTTCCATAAATAACCTGTTTGAATGACAAAGGATTATGGACCAAGACGGCAGCACGAGGAATGGGTGCCAGGAAGTGGGCTGCCCACTCTATTTTAAGTGGGATAGGCTTACGCTCCCGGTGTAACACACACCCGTTCTACAAATTCTGCAGATGGTCCAACATTCATTAGACCCTTCCTGTCTACAAGTCACGCAGAAACTGCCAATCTTGGATACTGCAACCACTACCGCAGAAATGGGACTTTTCCCACCATATTCCCAGGGCCTTCTCCACCTAATAGACCCTGGCAATAGGAAGCTGCAGTAGGTGGCTCAGCGGGTAAACACGTCGTGCCAAGACTGATGTGGAAGGAGAGAGCCGGTTTCCACAAGCTGTCCTCAGATCCCTGGTTCACTATAGCGCGCACCTAAACCATTTTCCACCAGAACACTTCCCCTGAAAGGACGCTGCCTGCACAACGGGGTGGGGGTGGGGAGTTACTGGCCCTTGTGGACAAAGACCTTTTCGCCTTTGGGTTCTGCCCCTTGCCCCAGCAGCAAAGGTGGCAGGCAGAACTGAGGGGTGACCCGAAACTTGGTGTATCAGGGCTCAGAGAAGGGGATGGGATGGTCTGCTGGCGCTTGCTCCAGGCCTCAGCCGGGTGTCTGAGCTTGCGAGGGTTCGGTGTCTGCAGTCGGTGCATGGCATCTACGCGAAGGCCCTGCTAATGGATTCCATTGCCCAGTGAAGCTTAAAGGACGTGCGGGGGCGAGGGGGGAACCCAAACGTTTACCCCGGCTCCATCCTTCCCGTTTCTGGCCTCTGCGGGCAGACGGGCGACCATTCTTATGTCTTGAACTGGACTCCGACACATAGTCTTGTGGTTGCGTGCGGGACTTCCGAGGAAGGAGATCGTCGGGTCGGCTGCGAGGCGCGCACCGTCTGGGCAGCAACGTGCACAGGCGCGACGGGTTGCGCCTCTGGAGCCGCAGCGGCGCCCACGGCGCAGTTCTGGGTGCGACGGTGGCAAAGGCAGGACGCGCCGGGGCGTGCTGGGCCTCTTCTCCCCGCGCGGGGGCACCAGAGCCCTCGCCAGTGTCGGGCACTGCGGCGCGTCGGCCGGATTCCTTCTTAAATGACTGCGGATATGCGGGCGGTCGGAGCAGCAAACGGCGAGGACAGGCTCACGCCAGGCTTGCGAATGGCACCGGCGCAGCAGTTACGCTCTGTCGCTCGACCCTCCGGAATCGCCTCCCGTGTCCCTAGTGAGACACCAGGGCGCTGCCGGAGCCCAGCCTCTCGGTAGCTGGGAAGCACCTCCTGCCTGGGGCAGCGCGGGTGCAGGGTACACGTTCGCGCCCATGCGCGCGCGCGAGCGCGCACACGAACACGCGCAAGGTACGGCAGGGCAAGGGGACAGGGGCTTGGGTGCCCTGAGTGAGGGGTGGGTGCGGTGGAGAGTGAAGCTGTGATCTTCGAATGGCTGCACCGTGCCAGGTTAAAGAATAAGGGAAGATGACGCGGAGGCATCCTCCCCGCAGGCCAGGGTCGGTGCCGAGCGTTTAGGGAACCCACTGCGTGGTGGGCGCGCTCCCTTCCCCACGCAGGGCTCTCCCTGTGGCGCAAACGGCAGGAGAAAGACCCAGCAGAGCCACACTCGAATCTGCAGGCTCCTGCTCTCTCGGCAGCAACCTCAGCGGGAGAGCTTTGGAACCATCCAACCCTAAATAGGTGGCCCGGAACCGGGCAACGGTCCTTGGTTACCAACGCACAGCCTTATATATTGATTTTTCTAGGGGGTGTAGCCTGTCTTCTCTGGATTTGGGGGAATAGCTTGCTTTCCCTTTTGAGCACGGTGGGGAAAGGAGAACGCAGCAGGGAGGGAGAGGGAAAGGGAGGATTCCTACAATAAGGACGGCGCATCTTTTCAGAGGCTGCCCAAGCCCCGGCTTCCATTTCAGCAAGGGGGACCTAAGCCTCTGCTGCGGTGTCGAAGAGATGTAAGAATTAGGGACCAAGGAAGCATCCCCGAGGCGCAACGCTGCATTTCAGAGGTACCTGGGTCGTAAGGGGCGCACACACGCACACGCGCACACACGCACACCCCGCACAGCCACCCAGCCAAGGTGTGTGCGTGCGCGCGAGTGTCAACTCCCACACGCTGCTGTCTGCGCCTGGCCGCTGGCACCAAGCCTCCTCCTCCTCCCCGCTCGCCCCCAGATTCCCTCCCCTCCTCCTTGCTTTTGTCTGGAGGATGCTAGGCTATGCGTGTGTGCGTGTGTGTGTGAGCGTGTGTGTTTTTGGATTTCATACTAATTTTCTGGAGTTTCTGCCCCTGCTCTGCGTCAGCCCTCACGTCACTTCGCCAGCAGTAGCAGAGGCGGCGGCGGCAGTGGGTTAGAGCCAGTCGCTGCTGCTGCCGCCGCTGCTGCCGCCGCTGCCGCTGCTGCTGCTGGGGCTCCTTGCGCTTGGTTCAGGAGGCCGGGGAGCCGCACCGACAGCCCTCGGTGGCCTTAGCCAGCACTGTCCCCCTGCCGCAGTCGCTCCCCAGGTGGGATGTGCCCGCCACCTGCCCGCACCCCCTTTCCCCCCAGCGCCCAGCGGCCAGGGAGGATTCTGCAGCATCATTGGGGCCCCATCGCCGGCGCAGCCTCCGAGTCCTCTTTAGAGGGTCCTTGGCTTGGCCTGTGCTATGGAATCTGCTCTCAAAGACCCTTTCCGCACCTCTCCTGCCTCAGCCTCAGGCTTGGAGGGAGGGAGGGCACACTGGGGAGCCACTGAGGGGCAAGTTGATTCCGAGGCGGGGAGCTGGGCACTCAAACATCTCTTCTCCAAGCGGGGATTCGGTGGGGGAGAGGGCGCGGAGGGGCTGTGTCCCGCTCAGCGCGGTGGTGTGTAGGGTCTAAGCTCAGTCTCATCCGTGTCTGTTTGTCCTCAGCCCTGAGGTGCGCATCGATAGCCGCGAAGGTTAGCGGTTCTGCGACCCAAAGAGTCCGGGGAGACCCAGCGAGCGGGTGCCCGACTTGTAGGACCATGCAGCCGCCCTGTGGCTCGGAGCAGCGGCCCGCGGCGTTCCAGCCACTGTGAACGGTTTGACCCGCGCCAACCTGCTCAAGCCCAGCACAGCCAGGCTCAGCCTCCGGGACGCTCCACTCCGCGGGAGGCCACCAGCAGCAAGCGAGAGGGCGCCGCGAAGGCCTCCCCCCCTCTGGCGGGGGACGCCTGGCTCAGCATAGGGACACGCACTCCGACTGACCGGCACTGGCAGCAAGGGATGTCGCCCTGGCCGAGGTGGCATGGACCCGCTATGGCGCGGCTCTGGGGCTTATGTTTGCTGGTGGTGGGCTTCTGGAGGGCCTCTCTCGCCTGCCCCGTGTCCTGCAAATGCAGTGCCTCTAGGATTTGGTGTACGGAACCTTCTCCTGGCATCGTGGCATTTCCGAGGTTGGAACCTAACAGTGTCGACCCAGAGAACATCACCGAAATGTGAGTTCCTTGTACTTTTTTCTCCTGTCCTCCACTTCAGGGCTCAGGCGGAGATACGTCCTGATGTAGGTAGATGCTGCCCCAAACCTGGTGAGAACTAGGAGGGCAGAATGACGGAGTACCTGTCACTTACCTGTGCTTTTCACTGGCTTTAGGCTGCCAGCTGGTGAAGGGTGGCACTCTAAGATCCCATTATGCTCTTGGGAAGGCATTCCAAGTGCATTTTCATTTCAAAGTTCTGATGGGTGTGTTTAGGCATTATGTATATGAGAATAATATTGGAATATTTTTTTTTTGGTTTGGTAAAATACTGTGTGTGTGTTGTGTGAGAAGTTCTAATAATATTTGCCAGAAAGAAGGTTAAAACCATGGACTTTGAGAAATTGGTTGGAGGGAGTGAGGGTCTCTCCCTTAACATCCTTTCCCGAGGTTTGGAGTTGACCGGTTTCCCTTCCCATCTCATCTATTGGATTTTGCTCGGGAGATTGCAGCCGGAGAGGCTCTGGGAGTGCCGTGTAAGAGGAGAAGTTCTGAGTGTTGAAAAGCACTTGCTCAAGACAGAAAATGTGATCATGGGAAGCCTAAAAGCCTGGGCTGATTTAATTTGGACCTGATTTCTCAGAGATAGGATTTTGAGGCCATTTGGATTATAAATCTTAATTGCCCATTGAATAATTCCTCAGGACTAGGCTGGAAGGCCCAGCCGTGTGTGCACTGATGGACGATAGCTGCAGCCTGGGACCGTCGTGTCCCCAGAAAGGTTACAGCTTGCCCCAGCTTGGTGGAGAGACGGAGAAATGTATTTCTCTTCTCCCTGTTGGATGTCTGTGAGAGGCACACAGGAACTCAACAGTCCTTTCTCCAGATTCCTAGGTCACCTGTGTTGGAGGTACCACTGTTTTTCTTTCCCAGCAATCTTGCCATTTTATGTCTCACGAACACAAGGCTTTATTCATCTGTGGAGAGGGTTATAAAGCTAAGTTTCCTGGGTGATTTTCACAGTGTTTGAGACTGAGAAAGGCAGCCTTGAAAGTAGGGCTCGGGCTGTGGCCTTCCGGTTGGCGAGTGCGCATGCACCCCCTCTCCCAATGTACAACAGTGTTTTTCTGCCAATGCATCCGCCAGTGCCAAAGGCATCAAGATAACCTGTTCTGGTTTTTAAATGTAAGTAAGAGTCCTTTCTAATCTTGCCGTTCTGCTGCTGATGGCTGTGCTGTTGGACTCGGGTGGAAGGAAATGACAGCAGGGCAGAGTGTGCAGCCTACAGGCCTGGCATGGCTGAGCCAATCCGTCCGTGAACTCTGGGTCCCGGGTGCCAGGTTCCTAGTCATTGACACGTAGCACAGCAGGCCAGCGGGAGGGTAGGGCGGGTTGTGCCTGTCCGGGGCTGGCCTTGTCAGAACAGTCTCAGAACCCAGGCCTTCCGAAAGGTGCTGTCAGTCAGGACGGAGGGGCCTCTGTCAGAGCCTGCCTGGTAGTTGGAAATGGGGGAGGTGCATTTGCACAGCTAGATAGTGCAGCTTTTTAAAGAATTCAATGACAAGACACCGGGTGAAGGGAGAAGTGAGGCACAGCGCTTGCGTGTCCCTGCAGTGGTCTTACTGTAACCCTTTAAGACCAGCTGCAGTAAAGTGGCTTTAAATCGAAAGCACCCTGCTTCCGAGGTCCCAGAGCTCTCTGCCCAATGCAGACCCGAAGACAGAGCATTCTGTGTTTTCTCCTTGCAGATGTTGTCATTCTTTTCCACGTGAAGGCAGCTTCCTATTTAGAAAAAAAAATATTTACTAAAGCCACAGTTGTTCATTTTATTTTGATGCACCAGTACCTACTCTGGTTTTCTTTTCCTCCCCCCCCCACCCTGGTTTGGAAATCCATTGATACTGAGCGGACTGAGAGCTGTGTGTGGCTGAGTTTCGGGGTGCAGGAGCAGGTGGGCAGTATCCGTCAGGCTGGGGAGGGAAGAAGGCGTTGCTGGCTGCTTTGCCCCTCACGGTGCTTGAGCCCATGCAGTGAGCATTTGTAAATTGTTTTGCAATGTTTGTTCGGAAGGCACCAGTGATCCAGACCTCAGACAGCATCTCCAGTGGAGTCTGTTTCCCTCTCTGCCTCATATGACACCGTCTGTGCTACCTTTCCTACCTGCCAACGTTTGTTCGAACAACTTGGCCAGTGACTACCAGCTAGACTTGGAACCAAATTCCACGGTTTCAAAACTGTCATTTGGTCCAGTGCTATTCCTAATGTATTCTGGGCCACCCCTGAAGTTACATGAAAACCGGAGTGAGGCCTGTTATCTGTGCTCACAACTTACTAAAACAACAGCTGACTATTTACATTAAAAGATAATGTATCTTTTAGTATCTGTATTTTCAGCCATGGAGTGTGTCCCTTAGGGTTCGTAGAGAAATGTTAGAATGTTTCAAAAATATAAGCACAGATTAGCTAACAGGTGAGGACTCTGTGTTTATGCAGAGTTGGAGTCAACTTGACCTGTGGCCAGTCATTGTTTGAGCGTCATTGTTTGAGCCTATTTTATTAGAAATCTTAGTGTCACAGTGTCTGCCCCACATTACCACTTAAGCCGATCTGTACTTCTTCTCTGTGTGAAGCCACAAATGCCCGGTTGGCATCCCATTGCTAAGGGACAACTACTAATGTTTGCAAATGGTTACTGCCACAGAAGTTCCAAATTAATTTTTAAGACAGTGCCAATGTCACAAGGAAGCTCAATGTTATTGGGATGATGGCCACTTAAATCCCCATTGTGTCAAGTGCCAAGGTGTCTTGTATGTCTTACCCAAGTGGTAGGTGAAGGTGTAGTTCAGATGAGTTTGCTGTCCTTACCTATGGCTAAAACAATTTTCCCATGGTGCGCTTTCCCAGTGTTCACGCCTATAGCATTCTCCAGTCCACGCTGTGGAACCCATCTACTCTAGTATTGCAAGTGTTTACGAAGGCTGATGGGGGTCTTTTTCCTGAACTTCTTGGGTGACATTCTCTGAACTGGGGGCAATGTTTGGAACCAAGTCTAATATTTATCTCTCTTAGCACAGCGTAAATAGAACCCACAGCTTCTGCTGCCAGAGCATCTATGTGCATTTTATTATTGCCTGGTTAAATGCAGTAATGCTCTGCCATTAATACATTGATTTTGGCCCTGGCACCTTAATAAGCTTTGCTATTGCAATTAATCATGCTTAAAACATCCTGGCACTCACAAAGATTCAGCCAAGGGCATGAGTATGATATTCACTCCGAGGCTCCTCACTGCCAATTCTAAAACTTTAGGTTGCACTTTTTCTGCACTTAAGTGTTATACGTTTTAGCTTGAGCGCGGTTTGCACAAGTCACACTGGGCTTATTAATAAATGCAGCATTGTTCATTATCTAATACAATTTGCAAACTGGAGGTGAAACCTTCCTTTCCACATAGCGGAAGTGTGGACAGACCTCAGCTCAGCCTAACCACTTGGAGCCTTTTTCTTTCATACCTTCAATCTCGTTTTATTGCACTGGGTAAAACACTGAAAAAGCCCCGTGACCCTTCCGACCCTACTCTCTCCCACCTCCCATCACTGAATGTACAGGAAAATGTGTTTGATTTTCTTCTTCTCTGAAAAGTGATACTTCCTTATGGGAATTCAGAGTGCTTAGAGTTAAGAGAAGAGCCGGGTTATATGTTGTTAGAAGCAAGCAGTGGGGGGGGGGTGAAGTGATGTGGTCATAGCTCCCTCGTGTTGAGCGTAGGTCTGTTTAAGGTCATTCGCTGTTTCTATTCCATAAACCTTTTGTTGTATCTCTTTCAATATTCCTCGGTAGAGATATTGGCTAAGATGAAGAGTAGGCTTTGCAGGGAGGTCTCTTTCCCCTTAGGGGCAGTCCATACGATCTCGGACTGTATCTAGGACATTGAGGCATATAACCTAAAGTTTTTGTTTAGCAGGGGAAGGGAAATTGAATTTCTCCTTGTCATGCTACTTTCTTTCTTTCTTTCTTTCTTTCTTTCTTTCTTTCTTTCTTTCTTTCTTTCTTTTTTTTTTTTTTTTTTTGCACTAAGTAGCATGTCAGTTCCCCAGGTTTGACCTAGTTGCTGATCTATTAGGAAGACAAACATGGTCAGGCCATTATTGGGCGGTGCACACTGGCATCATCTTCAGGCTGAGCTGTCCCTTCTGTGTCTCTGGAGTGTCTCTTGTAGGTTCCAAGCCGTGGGACAGAGTATGGCACACTGTCTTTGCCAACCCTTGAGCAGTGTTAGTTAGTACACGGCGCCTCTTGATTCCTGTAAATCCGTAAGGAGGTTCAGGAGAGAGATTATTTATGGATGGCAGAATTTTTGTTTGGTGTGTATGTGTGTATGTGGGAAGAGAGAGAGAGAGAGAGAAAGAGAGGGCACAAGAGAGAGACAGACAGAGAGCACACACAAAAAAAGCATAGAACCATAGCTGCCTGGTCATTTTTCATGATCTACTTTGTCAAGCTATTTTAAAATACAGATCTCACCCTGCTGTCCCAAATGGCAGAGGTCTGAACTCTGCAGCAGCCTGGCAGCTGTAGCGCTGCATTTGATTGCTGGTCGATCTCCATTAAAAAGGTAAAGATCCCACACCACCAGAGTTCCCCTGCCACTTACTTCCCTCTCCGGAGTGTCCGAGAGATTGGGAAATCATAAATATTGATCTCGACATGAGTACACACGAACAGTCTTGAAGTTATCACAGCTCTCTAAAGAAAAACCGTGTGCCGACACCGAGTTCTCTCAAGTATTCCAAAACCAGTCCATAGCGGAAGAGGGGAGCTGTGAGTTTCGGGAGCCCTCCAGAGACATCAGTCTCTAGAACTCTGGTCTCCACGTGTCTGAAGAGCTTTGGTTGCGATGCTCAGCCAACTCTCTCCTGACCCCACAGCTCCCCCAGAGCTTCAGCATGGGGTGGGGGCTACTCTTCTTGTGCCAGCAGTGGGAGGGGCCAGCATGCACCACGCTCTGCCATCCTTGGAGG